TTAGATGAGCTTTCTTTGAGCAGGACAGGTGAACAAAATGCAATGCCCACATGATGAGTTATATAATTATGCATGCACAGTGCATTATGTATAATGCATGTATTGTATAATAATACATAGGAAAAACTATAACCTAGTTATTTTATGTCTTATGATGAGGAGCCAAGAATGCTGCTATCACGTGCAGTATGTTATAGCACCGTATCGTATGAGACACGTGCTCATGGCCTCATTCTTTTCTCTCCAGGGACAAGGCTGAGGCTAGCACTCACTGAGGGAACACACACACAACAGAGATCAGTGTTGGTCGTCCACACACATACACAACATACACATGTATACACACACACCACACATTCATGCATAGAAACTTACACAGACACACTTGTTTTAGACAAAGAAATATGTGACACACATACATACAGAACTTAAAGGCATACACACATGCACATGCCTGCCAAGGGATGCTAATGAAGATGAAGTAGCTAATTAAGTATGACAGTGAGGAGCGATGGGCGGCCATGTTATGTGACATTATTGGGTTAGCTTGGACCTATAGACTTAGGACTTTGTGGCCAATATAGGACAATGTAAGAGTGCGAGAGATAGAGATAGAAAGATAGGTGGATGGATCAATGCAATTTGGAGAGGGTTATATCAAGATACATGAAGAGAATATTCTTAGGTTCATGCCTAAAAGTCCTTAGTGTTTAAATATTCCCCAAAGCATTCTCTGTGTGGACCATAGACTGTATGGACGCACACACTCACACACACACACTCACACACACACTGCTGGTGTAAATCTCTGAAATGGGTGGCTGCTCCATATCATGTGGTATTTATGGACATATTTATTCAATTGGACACCTTCCTCTATATATTTATCTCCCTGCTTTTGCCAATGTCTACCTGCACTGATCAACAGTAATATAAACATTGGATCTAGTGATGATGTATAATGTGGAACTGTAAAGAAGCCCTTAGCTCTGTGCAACATTTTAGCCTCAGATTTGTTTCAGCTCTACCGTTTTGGTTCAGACTCAGTACCATATTTGTAATGAAATGATGCCATGAAATTAAAACACAAATGGAGATGATCATGTGATGCAGAGTGACTAGGACTGCGTGAACTTTGTGCTAAATCCAGAAAACTAAGTGGGTTTCCAGAGACCCGCAAGGTGGAAAAATGGCAGAAGGTGAGGAAAATGACAGCCTGGTGACTAAGATCAGTGAAGAAAGAGAAAGAGTGGATGATGCAGAAGAGAGAATCTCAGACACATAGGACATGGTGAGAGGAAAATAGGTCCAGGCACAACAACTTAAAGATTGGCAACCTGCCAGAAGGGACTGAGGGGGACAATGCTAAACATTTCTGATGTGGCTACCAAAAATCCTGAATGTCACTGTGAAAAATGACCAGGTCACGATGGACAGATGCCGCCGGCGGCCAGAGTATTTATAGACCGAGGATTGTCTACATTGGTCTGTTCAGATATAAATAACATCACGTTCTGTACATTTAATGTAAAATGGATTCATCATTCAATAAAGCAAAAGAAAATATTGAGTTTTCTCAAAAAGTACAGATAGCTTTTTTTTTTACAAGAAATTAATGTAGTGGACAAAGAGCAAATGGAATTTAGATGAGATTGTGTAGGTCAGTGTTATTATTCATTAATATTCAGTCTATCTTGATACACCCCATTTGTATTTACAGTAGCAAATGCGAAAGAGTTACTGAGGGAAGGTAGGCCCTTGTCCATGGGATAGCAGTAGATTTGGAGGAATACAAATGCTCCTTTACAGTGCTGGGGGATTATTTTAACTGCTGTTTAGATAACAAATTTGACAGATCCCCAGTAAATACAAATAGACAAACGAATGCACTTAAATTAAAATGTTGGATGATTTTAAATCTCATTGATTAATGGAGAACTCTTAACCCATCTTCGAGGGACTTTATGTTCTACTCCACTCCACATCTTTTCTCTAATTTACCTCTTTTATTAGGCAGTATAGGCTTAATCCATATGAGCAGCCATGCTCCAGTTTACCTGCATATAGTCATGACTGAAACTACATCTGATACACAAAGGTGGTGATTTTCATCATTCAATGACAAGGAGCAGAAAGAAGATGGTGGCAGAGATAGTTTTTTTTTTCAATCAATGACAGTAATGAAACAAATTAGAATTCCTCTGGAAATCTGCAAAGGCGTACTTTAGAGGTACAGTATCTCGTACATGTCACACCCAGAGAAGACACTGCTGTTGAATTGAATTGGAAACAAATTCAAAGAAAACTGAATTTGCTCACAAGTCTAATCCAACTAAAACAAACTCTCAGGGCAGCAATGTAATTTTGAATGAGAGGGCCTCTAAGCTTTTTTTTTTTTTTAATCAAATACAACAATTGTATGAATATGGGAACAAACCTAGTAAAAATATGCCACACCAGCTTAATCAGAAACAAAATACAACAGCAGGAGTTAGGGAAGTTTGACAGGGAAAACATTCATGCTGTCAGCATTTTGAAAAGTTTATATATAAATATATAAATCAGACAAGAAAAAGAACTAGAGCACTAAAAAGGAACTCGATAGGTTCTAAGATCTAAAATCAAATTATGAACATTAACAAAACAGCAGCAAAAATCCCAGGGGTAGGAAATATTTGAGGCAATAGCCCTTATGCGCAGTGGAAAATCTCTGGGCCCAGATGGGTTCCAGACCGAGTGGTTGAAGACCTTTGAAAGCAAACTCACTCCCTATCTGGCTAGAACTTAAAACTGCAGTTTCAACATTGCCCACCGTCTACCAGAAACAATGCCAACATATGTTAGATTTGGGGGGAAAAAAAGACCCAGCATCCAATAGGCCTGTATCCCTCATTGCTGTGGATGCCTAAATCTTCTTTAAGTTTTTGATATTGCAACTTAAACCTCTAATATCAATATAACCTGATCTAACAGACTTCTTTTAAGGAAGTTGTTCATGTGATCCTAATGGACATTGCCTGTGGCTGCTGAGATGAGTGTGTTTACCTCTGTGACTGACTGAGTTGCACAGCATATCTGCTAGCATATGCTGCTACTTTGGTTAGTCATTATTGTGTGTGTCTGTGCATGTGCGTGAGTTACTCAGACTTATGTCATGCACCTCCCCCCACCCCCTGGCATCTTATCTGTTACGTCATGTCACCATAGTAACTTTGGCAGTGGTGATGTATTCTGCTTCACTGAACCAGCAGCAAAAAGCTAAAACACTCACCGAGATCTGTTTGTGTTTGTGTGTTCTTCAACTTAATTGTTGACAGTGTGCACTTTGTGTGTGTGTGTGTGTGTGTGTGTGTGTGTGTGTGT